GTGGGGACTTCCTGGTCAGTCCCAGCTTAATTTCTCCATGTCTTGTGCTTGTGGTGTCTTCAGCAATAGGATCTCACTATCTAGTCCTGGCATAGAAGCAACAGCAGCAGCCACAGCCTTTATGTTTGTGGGGCCTCGGGGCCTTCCTGGGCCAACAGCTCACAGAGAGGGAGCCTTCAGCACTGACATCTGTAGGTGGATTTTTTTGTTCCGCCTGTTAGCTCCCAAATAGCCAAATGGAGACTTCTTAATTGTAAAAGGCTCTGCTGATAGCTTAGGCTTGTTACTAACTAGCTCTTACAACTTAAATTAACCCATTTTTTTTAAGTCAGTCTACCTTTTGTCTCGTGTCTTTGTTACCTTAACTCTGTACTGCCCGTGCTGTTTCCTCTTGATGGCTGGCAACTCCCCATGTCTTTGCCCTTCTTCCCAGCATCCTCACTGCCCTGAAAATCCTGCCTAGCTATTGGGTGCTTTTTATTAAACCAATCTGAGTGACAAAGCTCCACAGTCTACAAAAAGATCATTCCACAACAGGGCTCTCCATTCAGTAACCTGCCTTTGGAGAGTGTCCCATTCCACCCACACAGGGTTCTTTCTGGATTTAAATTCTTAGCTATTCTCTTAAAGACCATTTTTGCCTCCTATTAACTGAGGCCCGGCAAAGCTGTGAGACAGGTGGGAATGCTGTTGCACCTGGATGTCTCTCTGATGATTCTCCAAATTCATGAGACACTCAGGTTGTCATTTTGACATCTATATAACTAACAATCGTGCCCCGTGGATGGACAGGACACCGCAACATCCCATATTAACCAGTGGGGTCTCAAACATAATTTCTATGAGGCTTTCGGAGTCCCCTGTCATCAGTGCTCAGCAGTGTCAGGTGATCCCAGAAGCTCACAGTTCAGGAGATATCTAAAGTGGAGCAGAAGCCAGGTCTAATATGGCACAGGAAAGGGTCTATCCATCTGTACCAGTTGCTTCCTGCACAGATCACAGTTGGTTGTGAGCATGAACTGGAACCCTCTGTCGTGCTCTGAACCTGTGTCCTGGAGCCTCCCTACATTTCTCCATGTCTGATGAACTTGGGGTTGGGGGCGGGGCTGACTGAATCCACTCAGACCTGCCAAGGGCCAAGGGAGACCAAGTTCCTGCAGGCTCCCAAGGCATCCCTTGGTCATGCTGGCCCCAGATTGGCACAGTGGACATAGCTTAATCGTCTTAACCCAAGCTGTTCTATCAGGATGTCTTCTGCGAGCCTTCCAGAGGCTCCTCGGCACACAGTGTGACTTTGTCCATCAGTTCTTCCCTAGGAACTCCAGTGGACACAGGACAGATGCCTCTCAGCTTTCCCACTTTCCATGTCCTCTCGGTTGCTCTCTCACTATACAGACGCTCTTTACACGCTAGTCTAAGACACTCAGACCTTTCAAAGCCTTTCCTACTTTATAAAGATCCTGTCGCCCCAACCAGCTGAGGTCCCCAAGGACCTGGAGTGCACTGCACAGCCTTTTCTTTAACTGTGCTGTGAACACGGTTCACATGCAGCCTCTCTTATCTCTAGTTCCCTTCATAGCATCTGCTCTCCTCTATGGTCCCCCTGATATTTGTGGGGACTCCAGCTGGAGACAACCAGCTATTCCTAATGACTCTGAAAAGCTAGCCCACCAGTGACTGATTCCCTCACCCTGTCTGAAGTTACACAGCCTTTGCCTTAAGGAGGGAGGGGAAGTCACATGACTCAGTTTCCCTTTCTCCACTGCAGAGTGGTCCCTCTGCACCATGGCTGGGCTGCAACAGGCTCTACTGTTGCTTGTTTAAAAGCCTCCACCAATTGTAGCAGTGCAGATGCTGAGATTCTGGACTGTGATTAATGTCCCATCAGAATGCTGGATCCTTTTTTTCTCTTAAATGTCGGACCTGTGGGGTATCTTCTGTTGCTTTTCAATGTTCTCTTCCTCACTCTGTGTCTCTCCACAGGTTCCAAGGTCTTGGAACCCAGGAAGGGCTTTCAAGCACAGGCCTAACTTGTGATCTTTCCCTCTGGCTGCCGAGCCCTAAGAAGCCGCAGGCCTTTGCCCCCATCTCTTCCCCTCGTTTCTCTAATTCACTTGCCAGGTCCGAGGCTAACAAGGAGGATGCTGCTGCATCTCCCCTTGCTGTGATTGCTCCTTTACACAAACAACTTCCTGCTTGGCACCATCTCCACCCCAGGTGCATCTCTAAGCACTCAGAACTGCAGCCTGGCAGCCTCTGCTGCTGCTGCCAAGCTCGACCCTCATGCTAATCTTAAGACTACAAAATTTGCTGTAACCCTTTAGGTGTCTTCTGGGCATCTCCGAATTTCTGTAGAGGACCCCACTCATCAAGCAGGCAAGTCACCTTATTCCACACAGAGGAACCCTGGGATGCTCCCTCTCACACTCCTGATCCTGATGGCTTGGGGTGAGTTCCACACAGCTGCCACCACAGCACACCAACATACAACACCCAGGGAGGAACAGCCTACCGGAGTCTCCCCCAAAATGTCTGCCTCTCAGGCTGATTGGCCTCAGTGGCATGCCTTGCCACCCACAGCCTACACCATGCGTTCACTCCTCCCCAACTCAGTTTTGGTTATGCCGTGGTCCTCTTCAGGTGGGAATGTTCTATGACTCGAAAGACTTTCCTGGGGACATGCAACACACCCTGCTACTTACCTGAGTAGGAAGCCCACGACAGACCAAAGTATGGACACCCCCAAAGACCTGCGTGGTGAACCATGAGCTTTACTGGGGTCACTGCCAAGCATATGGGTAAGGGGAGACAGCTGTGTCACCAAGGCCCACCCCAGCATGGGTGACAGCTCACAGAGCTGGGAACCTGGAGTGCACTTCACAGCCTGCTGGCCACACAACAGGCTGGAGAGCATCCCTCAGCTGATTGGAGCCTCTTCCAGGCATCTCAATTTCCTGAGGGGACCCTCAGCTTTTATTGCTCATTCTGGCTAAGAGGAGCCTAGTGAAACTTGTTGGTTTCAGGGACTTCCTGAAGCTGTTTTCCTTACCTTCCTGCTTAAGGAGACACTATGCAGGCTGTAATGTTTCACCTGGAGGGCATTGCTGCAAGGAAGCTTTGATCCCAGCTTGCTATGACCCTGGCATCTGAAGACACCTGGGTTGGGGGTTGAGCGGTGTCTGTCCATGCCCAGCTTTCTCAGTGATCATTGGGCTGAAGACAGATGCACCCCTGCCCCAGTGGCCCAGAGAGGGGGCTCCCAAGGGCATTCCCCTCTTCATCCAGTCAACTCAGGAAGACCTCCCAGGTGTCCTGCAGGACATACTGCTGCCCCAGCCTGTGGGTGTTCTCTGTGGGTGAACGATTGGGGCCACACCCCTGCCCCAGAGCTCTGTGCAGACACCCCAGTTTCTTGAGACATGCTGATTGAGGAAATGGATTTCCTACTCCTTGATGGTGGCCAAGAGGCCAGAACCCCCACATGCTGTGGAAACCCCTTAGTGAATGTTCCTGATCTCAGTTTCCCCAATGTGGTCAGATCATGGAGCCTCAGAGTTGGCCTGAGAATCCAAAACTGTTCTCTCTGAGTCTCCCTTGCCCAGGTAGGTGTGTGTCCCCAAGCCCACCCAGGCCTGAGGGGACCTTGGCCTCCTTTCTCCCACCCACTTCCAACATGCCAGCCGCAGAGTGGGGTGGAACCTACCAGGAGATGGAAACGTAAACAGAGCATCTCCCACAGCCTCAGCTCCGCACCCAGGCTGGGGAGCCACACAGGGCCACCCGCATGGCTGAGGCTCCCGATCACACCCACTCCCACTCTATAGTTGTTGCCAATGGTCTCCAGGAACCCAGGATTGCCTCCAACTCTCTGTGTAGAGGAGGGAGACTTGAAGTTGTCATTGTCCCGCCTCTACCTCCCGGGTGATGATGACACCATCACCCCCAGCAGGGCACCAGTTCTCCCCAGCCCTGTGTGCTTTCTCCTTGAAGGTGGACACTGGCCTGACCTTTGACCCTTCCCTAATTTCCTGCTCCAAAACCTTGGCCAAGTCACCCACCTGGTGTGCCGGGCAGCCTGTCCCCTTGCTAGTGTCATCTCAGCCTGACCTGTACATCTTCCTGGAATTCACCCAGGGGACATCAGCTCTGAGAGACGGCAAAGCTGGCAGCTGACACAGACACGGAGAGCATGGGCTGAGGCTGGCAGTCATCTGAAGTTACTCTCCACCATGTGTTTCGAAGCAGAGTCTCTCACTGACCACGCAGCTGCCAACTCAGTCAGACTGACTGCCCAGCGAGCCCTGGGGCCACTCTTGTCTCCAGCTCCCAGCACAGGGTTTCAGTCATGTACCGCCACGCATGACATTTTATATGGGTGCTGTGGATCTGAGATTCAGATCCCTTTGCATGTAATAGTGTTGACAATGTCCTAGAACAGCCCCCAGTCCCTCTCCTCCAGAGTGACAACCACAGATGTCACCAGGCATTGTTTGAGCATACCCCCGGCGAAGGACACAGTCACCCTGGATGAGATTCATAGAATAAGGTCTCAGGTCAGTTCTTGCAATGCTCCCATCTGGATATCTGTGATACTGTCACACCCCAGCCTCCACAGGGATAGTTGTGTGATAAAGACCAAAACTGGGGCAGACCCACCACCCACCAGTTACTCTGAGCAGAGTGTGCTGGGAGCTGGTATGTCTTTTTTTTTTTTTTTTTTTTGTGTTGTTTTTTTTTTTTTTTTTTTTTTTTTTTTTTTTTTTTTCTGAAACAGGGTTTCTCTGTGTCTTTGGAACTAGTTCCTTTTTTGTTGTTTTTTGTTTGTTTGTTTTTACGAGACAGGGTTTCTCTGTGGCTTTGGAGGCTGTCCTGGAACTAGCTCTTGTAGACCAGGCTGGTCTAAAACAGAGATCTGCCTGCCTCTGTTTCCTGTGTGCTGGGATTAAAGGCGTGCGCCACCACCACCCAGCCAGGTATGTCTTAGTTAGGGCCTCCATAGCTGTGCTAAAATGCCATGATGGCTAAGTAACTTTAGTTTTATTTCAGCTTACATTTCTCAGTCACACTCCATCATTCACAGAGTCAGGCAGGAACCTGGAGGCAGGAGCTGAGGCAGAGGCCACTTACTGAATTGCTCCCCATGGCTTGCTCAGCCTGCTTTCTTATAGAACCCAGGACAAGCAGCCCAGGGATGGTACCACCCACAGTGAGCTGAGGCCTTACCATCAATCACTAATTAAGAAAATGCCCTGCAGGTCAATCTGGTGGTGCCATTCTCTCAATTGTGGCTCCATCAACCCACATGACTCTAGTTTGTATCAAATTGAAATAAAACTACCCAGCACGATAGAGCACAACACAGGGGCAACAGAGGATGAATTTTGAGTGGGACACTGCCTGCAGGACTCTGGCCAGCCACCTCAGTGGAACCAAGAGGCCACACTGTGGACCGTCTGGTACCTCTGGTCCCACTGCAGCTGCCTGCATGCCTGGCAGAAGGCAAGGGCCATGCTAGACAAGCGAGGCCTGAGCGTCTCCCTCCAGCGGAAGTAGCGCTGGTAGCTCTGGCTGTCCTTGTCTAGCTTCTGCAGGTACTGAGCCAGGTCTGCTGGGCTCTCAAAGTCATCCACGTGGATGAAGGCATCAGGGGGCAGGAAGCGTTCATAGTTCTTCCTGCTGGGCCCCAGGACCACGGGCACAGCCCAGGCCTCCAGAGCATTCTTCCACAGCTTCTCTGTGATGTAATCTGGGTGAAGTGAGTTCTCAAACGCCAGGTAAAACTTGTATCTGGCCAGCGTCCCCATCATGTCCCCTCGGGAAAGGGGCATATGTCCTCGGCCATACACGTCCACATGGAGGTGACTCTGAAGCTTCTGATAGTACAGCACCCGAGCCGACTTGGGGTTCCAGTTGGACACAGCCCAGGCCACCAGGTCAGTCTTGGCAGACATGTTGACCTGGGTTTGGACTGGAGGCTCTGCCCACGGCTCCAGCCAGCCATAGGGTGTGAAGATGTCAGAGTCGCTGCGATAGGACATGGTTAGGTTGAAGTATCCATCCAGGGCTGCCAGCCTGCTGCAGTGGCTGGGTGACTCCAGGCTGAACCACACCCAGCGCTGGCCTGGCGGCCTCGGCTGACTTGGCAGCAGTGACCTGGGGTTGGGGCTGATTTCTCGGTGGTGGAAGATGACTGCATCTGCTTGGGGGTACAAGCTCCGGTTGACAGTCATCTGGCAGTCGGCGGTGCCTGGGAGCATCTTGGAACAGGGGTACAGAGTCAGTGGGCTGTGGAAGGGCCATGTCCACAGTAAGATGAGGAAGGGTCTGGGGACAGGGGTAGTTGGGGTGGAGGCTGGTCCTGTGGAGCTATCAGGAGCTGGGGGGCCGGGTTGGTCATGGGATACTCGGATGTAGGAGAAGAAGCACAGAGCAAACAGCAGCTGCAGCAACAGCCCTATGAGGCATGGACGCCAGGGACACTGTCCCTTGGCTGCTCGGGGCGTATCCATGGCCTGGGGGATCTGGAATGAGAGGAGAAGGCAGAGCAGGTCACTGGTCATCCTTGTGGAAAATGACCAAATTAACACTCCACATTTTTTTTTGAGACAGAGTTTCTCTGTGTAGCCCTGACTGTCCTGGAACTTGA